TAATGGAATCCGGGGACATTCATCAAGACTATGAAGCAGCATTTTAGAAATAAAGAAAAGTATGTCACTTTTATAAAACTTAAAATAAAATTAAATATCATAATTGAAATGCAGAAGTAATTGCCTCATCATGTTGGGCTCATTGGAGATTAGAGAAATCAACATAGGAAAGATCCAGCAGGACAATAGTCTAAGAAGTGATTTAGTAGAGTTGATAGGTGTGTGATGGCTGAAATCTGGGAGGACAGTCTGGAATGGTTTTGTCCCATCTTTACAGTTTTCTCCTGAGCTACAAGGACAGTGTTGGAGATGCTGGGCTAGATGTGATTTTGGTATAATTATAGTAAATCCAATGCTGTGATATTTTAAAATTTTAATTAGACTTTCAGCCAGCTTTCTTTCTAGAAATATTCAGAATATAATGATTTTAAAATTCCAGAATCAGGCACTTACATTTTCCAAGCCTGTGGTTGCTAATCTTTTCCCTTACAAATGCAAAATATCCTAAGTGGTGTTTTGTTGCTAACATTTGAGAAAAGTCTGCAGTATTGCTATCAGTTCTTCATCTCTCTGTCATGACGTTCTGCACTGGTAAAATAGGCATCTTAGAGATATCTTCCAAAAGTTTCTAAGAGTAGCTTAGAGGAAACAAAATAGCAGGATCAGCTCCCTAGATCATGAGTCAAAGTCCTGTGTTTAGAAGTCTTGGTGCGACAGCTAGTACATTTTACTATGGTTTCCAAATGCTTTGGTGATTTTGAAGACTCAGATTTCTGAGGGTCTTAAGTGTTCATGAAAATGCTGACATAAAAGAGAAATGTCAGAAGGAAGGAAGAGAAGATCAAGGGAGGAAGAAAACAGTGGACATACTGTTCCTGGCATTGACTCTGTGTAGTGTTTCCGATTTTGTGTCTTCCTGCTCATGGTTTTGGTTTCAGGTACCCTTAGCAGACCTTTCTTCCTCCACGGTATCCAAACAGGACACTTTGCTGGAAGAGCTTCTTTAGGCTGAACACTGCAGGAAGCTCTGTGCCAGATAGGGTGAAACACCAGTGAAGCTAATTTGAAAAATTCATCAGATAAATTAAATGAGAAACCGAAAACATTTGTTTATTTAATACATAAAATATTCATCTTTATTAACTGTAATATTTCCTACCCTTTGATACTGTTCCACACTACCACTCTCCAGAGGATCTCATCTTGCTAAGGTACAGAACATGAGTTTGATTATATGAAGGCAGTGGGCCAAAAAGCTAGAGGTCTTATGCAAATTGAAATCTGCATTCATTTGCATAATGCTTCTGATATAGAGATATAGATATTGCTATATATGTATGCATTTATGCAGCCATTATCTCTCTGTCTCTGTTGAAAGATCCTTCTTTCCCAGCCTTTCCCTGAGCTGGCTCTTGCCCTGGTCCTGGTTGTCCTTGATGTGGACTGGCCACTCTGAAGTCCAGGATCTCCTCTCCCTGCAAACATAGGTTTGTCACTGGTCTAAATTCTGCAGCAGCAATTCTTGCTTTTGTGCTGGTTGTCATCTGAGCTGTTTATTTGTGCTGGTAAGGAGCAGCTAAGAGCTGTGGAAACTGAGCTATTTCTAGGTGCTTCCAGAAGCAGTTGTCTTTGGCAAACAGAATCACGGGACAGTTCTTTGTGATGAGCATTACAGAGAATGGTTTAAGGATGTGTATTCACTCTCTACTAGTTCTTCATCCTCTTTTTGAGGATAAGGGTTGGAGCAGCCATGTGGAACAACCATCTGAGCTCAGCTCATGTGAGAATCATGTAACATTCTTTTGTGGGTTTGGATTGTAAAGACTTGCTGAAATCTTCCTGCATCAGTGGGGTTTTAAGACTCAGCTCTCCTGTAAGCACTGGATAATGTACTTTAGGAACCAGCACACTGTCAGGTGGGGAGACCAAGCTGAAACTTTTGTCATATAAGGAGGCTAGGAAATGGGTTTGACTTTCCATACACTAGTTTAAATGAATGGAGGCTTGCTCCTTCTACTTGAGGCTGCCCTCCTCAGAGAGACTGGTCCTGAATGATCAGTGGTACCTGATTTTGTCTAAAAGTTTATGAAAGAAGACCTGTCTATTGTTCTAAAAAAAGAGAAAAAAAATCTGTTTTATTAATAATAGAGTAATAAACCAAGTAAGCTTTGTATTTGTGCTCAATCAATTTAAAGAATTTTAATACAGGTTTAGCTGGGGCTTAGAGTAGGTATTTGAGTCACTTTTATGCCATAAGTGACTTTTTTCAAATCTCTAGAGTTAGGCCCTGGGGCACAGGTATAAACTGTCATACAGAGTTGGCACCAATTAAAGCTCCTGAGAATCTACCCTCAGTTTTTTCAAAACTGTCAACAGACGTGTTTGACATGTAGAGAGCCAGTGAAACTGGAGCTAAAAAAAAAGCTTTGCTGAAAATCTGACTGCTTATTTTGGTGTTTATGTGGAACTTAATCTCTAGAAAGTCTGGTCCACAATTCAGTCTCATCCATGCTGCACTACCAATGTTTCCACTTTCAGGTGGATAACTTGAGCTGCACTTAATAAGAAATTGCACAGTGAAAAAAAGAAATAGGCCCTTGGGCAGGTATTTCATTTGTGAGACTTGAAAAAATTCAGAGACATTAAGGAATTACTCTGCCACATCTACCAAAGCTTGAGTTTCTTGGAGATCTCTTGCATAACTTCAGAAGACTATTTTATGCTGTTCTCTCAACTGGGTTATTAATAAACTGATAGGTTGATCATAAAGTGACTTTATTGGAAAGAAAGTTTACCAAGTGAAGAATTCAGTAAATATTTTCCAGATATCCATGTCCAATAGATTGCTTGGTGTGGTGAATAGTAAGCAATACTGCCTTATAAGACTGCAGTAATACAAAGCGCTCCAAAGAGCCTAACCCTGATAGGACTAAGACCTGACAACATGTAAATCCTGCACCATCAGGCCAAGATCCATTGCAAGGCATATGAATGGTATAGAGTAGTCCTAGATCCCAGCTGTTTGCTTTCTTCAAGTCCTTCACAAATACATACTAAAATAATTTTGAGAGTAGCAATTGAACACAATTGTAAGAAATTCCTCATAGAAAAGCTTTTTAAAGAGTTTTGATTGTAATAATTTTATTCTAGCATATGGATTTGGGGCTTGGTGGGAAATCAATCTCTTTATGGAAATAGTAAGTAATTAGCATTTGCTATCAAGAGAAGAAAAAAAAAAAAACGTTTACAAATCATTGCATTCATTTCAGATTATTCATGAGGGTTGAAAGGCAACTGTTTGAGTTACTTTGTGATACCATAAACAGAGCTCTGGGAAGACCACATACTTTGTAGCATAATTTGGGGTTTGTGCATGTACCAACTGAGACTTTCCTTCAGTAAGTGCTCAGCTAATTTTCCAAAAAGGAGAATCTAGATTCCAGGCTGCTGTTCTGAAGGAGCAAGTTTGAGTTGGTACTGATAGGGAAGCAAGGCCTGCTGACTGACAGAGGAAGGGTCTAATCAAGATGTCTTATTTAAATTTTTCTTCTTGTGCAGCAGTAGGCAAGGAAAGTCTTCACTTACCCTTTTCCTACACATTCCCAAAATCTCAGATTGGGTTGTGAAAATGTTCACATCTGGAAAAGAGTAAGAACTGAGGGCAGGGGTGATTTTGATACAGAAAATTTGAGTCAATAGCACTTAACATTTTCTGGCAAATAAAAAAAGGAGGACTGTCTACACACTTACATTATAGTTCAAGACAGAATGACACTGCCTAGTTTCCCTGGGGGCTGCTGTAAATTACCCCAGAGCTTTTTTCTCTGTGAGAAAAAGCTACAACTGCTGTCACATGAAGGCAGCACAAACAGCAATAGCTGAGCAAGCTGCTGGAGCTCATGGCCAGCCCTGCATTCAGAGCTGCCTGGAGCTGGCCTTGCTTGCAACAGTACCAGCAAGAGCAGCTTGGGTTTACCTTAGTGTGTTGTGGCCAGTCCTGGTGGAATTAATTTCTGCAGGAGCTGTGCCAGCTTTTCTGAGGTTTGGAGTGTTGCGGATCATTTAGCTTTCTTGTGGGTTTTTTGCCCCTTCCAAAAACAAAATGGAAGCAAAACACACACCAACTCCATTGCTGACATGTTGGCACATACTGTGAAATAACTGGCTGAAGAGTCTTCACAAAAAAGAAAAACATGGAATTTTCAAGTGGCAAGAAAAAAGCAAAAAATAGATATGACTCATTTTCATAAGCAAAACAGGAGAATTGCAAAGTTGAATGTGGGTCAGATACCTAATAGTGGCAGTGCTGATTCATAGGTATCTGTTAAACACTACAACCTAAAAACAGTTATGCCAAAGTGATGAGAGATAGGCCCTCAAAACAGCCAGTAGCTAATACTGCCTTTGTGGTTTTATATATTTGCCTATTAAAATGACAATACAGACATGGAACATTTAGATTTAAGAAGCCTTCTTTTCACTAAACAACATTAAACAAACTGACAAAGTAGGGGGTTATGACTCCAGTAATTGAAACATGCTGTTCTGTTCAAGATCAGAACTCTATAAAGACTCTTTTCACCCAGTAATGCCCTTTGTGTTTGCCTGCTGTCCCTGCTAGAAATTACTGTAGATCTGAAGTATGTCTTTCCGAGTGGGAATGACAGTATGCAACAGCACAGTTGGTAGATGGGGTCACAGCCTTTTTAGGTTGTTCATGGTCATTGTGCATTGGAAATCAATTTGCAGCTCAGAATACGTGAAGACATAGGGGGATTCATCTCCCCACTGTTTCGGGTTTTGTTTTGGTTTTTTTTTAATGTTAACTTCAACCCTAGGATACAGGAAAAATAATTAGAGGGATTAATTTGGATTAACTGATTTGGGTAATCTTCATTAGCTTAATTTACAGCATGCCTTTTTGTGTGTTCCTCACTCTTCTAGATTCATATTCTGAATCTGTGCATTACCTTGAATTTCTTTTTCCTTCTGTCTTCTAGATGTTGATGAGTGTCTGGATAACAATGGAGGGTGTCAGCAGATTTGTGTAAATACTATGGGCAGCTACGAATGTCAGTGCAAAGAGGGCTTTTTTCTGAGTGATAACCAGCACACCTGCATTCATCGCTCCATTGGTAAGTTTTCAGTGGGTAAAATGTGCTCTTTAGAATAACCATGTTCAGTCAGAAAAGCTAAAACAGTTTGGGTTTCGTTGGGTTTTTTGTTTTTTAATCTCCACAGTTCCCAAAATCATTTTACTGGTTGGTTGGATTTGATTGATTCCTCTCTAGCCAAACTTGTAGCAGAGCCATAAATAAGACAAAGAGACAGGTTTTGGTTTGACACACAAATTATGCTTGGTTCACACAGCAGACTCTTTGTGTAGGCAGAGACAGGTTTTCAAATAGTAACTTTCTGGTTCTGAGTTTCCAGAACTTAAAAATCTATTTATTGGATAATGGTGCACCTGTGTTTCACCTTAGAAAGCATGGTATCTTAAATCCAAATTAGCATCTTGTTACTTCTGTAAGTTACACAGCTTGTGGGGGTTTTTGCCAGTCATGTAGCTCATTATTTCATTGCAGACTGATCGTGGCTGATACTGTATTGACGCAGGATTTTTCTTTGGTTCAGTACCCTGTCCTCAGGTGGATTAAAAACCAGTTTCTCTGTTGCCTATGCACTAGCAATAGAAACAAGGAATCCCTGCAGAACTGTGATCCTAGTCTGCTGCTGTTTTGGACTAGAATAAGCAGTTTTCCATTTTCTATAGATGTCAGACATGGAAGACAAGTTTGAGTGGAAAGGGAGAAAAGAACACAACATAGCCATAAATCTTTGCAATTAAGTGGACTCTCTCAGTGTTCATTCAGGCTTCTGTGACCCTGGCAGCAGTGGGAAGATATGCTGGCAAACTCATTTACCAGTAAGCAATACAGAATGACAAAGTAGCAAGATGAGCCTGGTGATCAACAGTAGTGTAAATTTCAACAGGCCACACAAATGGTTCTGAGCTATTTTAAGTGACTAATACTAACCAGAAAAACATACTGAAACACAGAGTATGAGTTTAGTCATTCTGTTGATAAGAAAGCAAAACATTGTCGTTTTGCTACAGCGGAGCATCTCAAAAATGTTGATGTGTTTCTGGCACTGTGTGTCTGCTTAAACAGAATTGTAATGACAAGCAGTGATTTTGACTTTCAGAATCATGAAACTATGGAAAATATATATAACTGTGGAATATATATAACTATGGACAGGTCCACTTTTTAGCATGATTATTATGTTTTAAGTATTTTGATTATGACAAGACTATGCAATTAAGTTACATGAACCAGTGCATGTTTGAGGTTGTTATCTATAGGTTTTTCAGTCATTCTTTAAACCTAAATTGTCCAGATTTCTGTCCACCATAAAGTAGTCCTGACTCAGAGATATCCAACAGAGCAAGGAATAGTAGCTGGAGGCTTAATGAAAAGCACTTGCAGAGTACTGCGCTGCAATCATTATTTCAATTTGCACATTATAAAAATTCCCAGCTGTAATAAAAAAAGAATCTGGTTATCTGAGATGGAAACTAATGAAATAAATTAAAAATTATACTCTAAAGGCAAAAGTTTATTCTAAGGAATAGTTTCATGGCAGGAAAAGGGTGTGTTTTTATGGCAATGAGGGTTACTAGTTTGTCGGAAAGAGTAGGGGAGTGGATTTCAACACGAACTGCTGTGGGCGTATAATAAATATGCATGGAAAAAATATTTGTGTTAACTTGCTTATAAAGAAAAAGTCATATAAGACATGGATGTTTAATTTGAAGCAATATCTTTAAATTGTTTTCGATCTGAAAAAAAACCCAAGCAAACTACCAAATAGACGAGTGGGAATTGCAGTGTGTTTTATGAGCAAATGGTTTGCAGCTTTTCAAAAATGAAGTGTCATTTTAGAATAACAGCAAACATTACACTGCAGTGTCATGATCCCCTCTCAGAAATACATTAGGTGGGGATGCTGGAGGAAGAAACTGAGATGAAATTATCTCTTTCACTTGCCAGAGGTGCCTGAACTGCAAACGGTAAACATGCATGGTGAGAAAGCAAATGGCTTTTTAAATATCTGTGTTTACTTGCTTTTGTAGCTCTCACTGGTAAGCACTGCTACAGAAGCTGTTGGAACGCAAAAATACACATCAGTGTACTTATCCACAATGGTGCCAGAGCCGTATTGTGACTGTACCTCTGTTAGTAAACAGGGCTGGAGTGGACAAAGGCACCCCATGCAGCCAGCACTGCAGTCCAAACACGAAGGCACTGACTTGCCAAAGCCCTTTAGCGAGTTTGTTGACTTTGTGCATAATAAGATCCATTCATTGCAGGGTGGGTGCATTTCTATCTCTCTAAAATGCATGTGCAATCACAGAATGTGGGTGTCCTCAACATTACTTAAAGTCTCTCCAAAGACTCAGCTAGTCTCAAAGCATCAGCCACAAGGCTCTTAATGCAGTTTGCTGCCACCTTTCCCCTCCTGTTTTCAAATGCCTTGGGGAAAAAAGGAAGAAGCATTGCAAGGTGCTTAGGAGATGATTGGAGTTGGGATGTGTTCAGAAGGGAGGGAGCAGCACCAAGCCTAAGAATGCCCTGTCTGCAGGCACAGCTCAGCCATCTCAGGCACCAGCAGAGCTGGTACTGATCACATGCTTGGAGCTCACCAGCACATTCAAGTCATGGGGTGGTTTCAGAGTTTAAAAAGGGCTTTGGGTCTTGAGCAGAGGAAGGAATACATGCCTTTTTGCACTTAGCGGGTAAAGGAATGGCATCTTCCAATAAGAGAGATCCTCCTTAAAATTGTAGGCTGCTCTGTGAGTTTTCTCAGCTTCCAGAGATGCACTCTGCTTGTCCCAGTGTTTTTGGGTGTTTTGTGTCCCTGTGCTCCTACCCACAAGTGTGGTTAAAAGCCATATTGGAGTTTATGATGGGGGCTTATGTTCTTGTTTCTCAAATGACATGTTGGCTTGCCATCCAGAAGTATTATTGTCTCTTCTAGACAAAAAGGATTAATGATCCACAGAGAAATAATAATTTTATACTAGTGGGAGGCCAGGTTGACATTAAAATCAGATCAAACCCTGGTGTCCAAGCATTTGCATTGTTTCACTGTCTTCATTACAGGCCTACTGATTTCTGATGTTTAGTCCCAGTATCTTTTGGGAGGATGCTATGCCCAGTACAACTTACCTCATTCGTTTTTGCATAAAAATTAATTTTGCTTTGCTGAGTCAGATTTCAGTGCTAGTTTATTCACAATAATGATGGCAAGAACAGGGAGAGAGAACAATAGGGAGAATAGATTGTAGAAGTTAAGGAGAACTTAACAGTTGTTTATCTTTGTATATTTTAATTGCGTGAGGGGGTATGAACACTGGGAATCATAACAGAGACAAGGTTGTGTGTGTTTCCTCGTGACTTAAAGAGAAACCTGAATAAAACAGCTGTTACTGTATCTCCAGCTCCAGAGGGAGCATGTGTTTAATAAATGTGGAGATCACTATCGTACACTAGCTGTGACTGAGTCAGGTTAGTGGGTTACAGCACGTTTTAACTGAATTTGGTGATAAACCAAAAGCCCTAATTCAACAAATCCTTGGGGCAGATCCTTGAAGTCCTAATTTAGGAAAGCTGGTGAAAAATCTAAATTGGGCTTTAAAAGTATTAAAATAGACTTGTGCCTCTAGGTACACAGACAAAATAGAGAGAGAGTGCCTGTATCTCCACTGAGGCTCAGAGTGAACACAGTGAAGTGTTGAGTACATCCCATTTGCATTACAACTTACATAAGCTGTTGTGGGCAGGAGCCCTGACTTCAAACTGCCTCACCTACCCAAATTCCCAGCTGAGTCCCATCCCCAGGGGCAAGTCTCCTAAAGCACAAAGGGTTTTTGCCTACAAACAACATACTTCAGGAGCTCTGTAGCTAGGAATACCTCAGCCCCTATAGATTCCATCCCCTGGATGTCTGCGTCTAGCATAGTTATATTAATGACTATGTCTTATGTCTATTCATCATTCACTGCCAGTGGTTTATATAGCAAGTACCAAGTAGGCTGAAAAGGCAGGTGAATTATGAGTGGCAATTACATGTGGAGATGAGAAGAGGTGGAGAAGTACCAGGCTACAGAAGGCGGAACTCATGGTGGTCTCATCAAGTGGTGAAAAAGCTTTTTACACAGTTGTCACTGTCACTTTCAAGTCTGTTAAAACACCACTTAGCAAAGAAATGCTTTTTCACCTTCCCTTATCATAACCATTAGCCTTCTCAGAGTTAGGAAATTTGACATAAAGTCAAGCTACCACAACTTAGCAAGATTCTCAAAACCAACTTGTCTTTTTGTGTACTAAAAGTGTAGGTTTAGACCTGTAGGAAAAGGAAATGTGCTAAGCCACATTGTCTTGCACTTGCTAAGCAGGCCTGTAGAATGGTTTATCATGCTTTTGCTGATACACAGGAACTTGTTAAACTTGATTATGTGTTAAGCCCTTGTTAATTTTGCAGTAGGAGTCTATTGGTCATCAAACTACTGAGTTTCTTCTTCTGAGGATTACAAAGCCATCTTTGTTCAAATTTTTTCCTTCCTATTTTCCATGATTTATTTTTATTCTTCATGTTTTTTCTTAGTTCAATGCAATTTTGTAGTGGTAGAATTATATGTTAGGACTCCCTGGGGGGAAGCGCTGTGCCCAGTCACTAAAGGAGGTGTTAGAGTTGGGATTCTGGGATTCTTTATTCCAATCTCTGGTGCTAATCCCTTGTGGGACTCTAGGCAAGAAGGTTATTGTGACTCAGAATTTCTGCAAAGCACTTTAGAGGAGAGGTGTTTTTTCTACAGAAAGCACAATAATATCTTCATATTTAAATTCATGTGGAAGGGTGACTTTAAATAATTAAGTGTTGCCAGCACTGTTCCAGACTTTATGAAGTACAAGTTTCTCATTCCAACTATGAAAGCTCTTCCATGATGATGTAAGCAGTTAAATTACTCCACCTGAACATGCTTCACCATGGCTACCCTGAGTGCAGGCTTCCCATTCACAGAATGGGAATCTTATATGTCTTTTTCCAGTTGGAATCCTAATATGAT